TCAATCCCCTGTAGGGGGCATGCAGGAGGAAGCCTACAGTTGATGTCTCTCTCACATCAATATTTTGCTGGCTCTCTCCCTCTCCTTTCTTCTCTCTAAAAATCTTTTAAATAAAGAGTGGGAAAAGAAAGGACAAGAGGGAGGGAGGGAAGAAAAAGAAACCCTTCCCATGCAGGGTGTCGCAGTCTGTAGAAACAATAGCCATGTATCGATGGCAGGTAGCTGACCCACATTTTCTAGACAGAAATAAATCCCAGGCCACTCACCCACACACCCTTCAAAGTGGATTTAAGATTCTAGGGCTTGTGGCCTGGCCGGGCGTGGCTCAGTGGTTGAGCATCGACCTAGGATCCAGGCGATCAGGGTTCGGTTCCCAGTCAGGGCACATGCCTGGGTTGCGGGCTAGGCAGCCGATCAATGACTCTCTCATCGTTGATGTTTCTATCTCTTTCTCTCCCTCTCCTTTCTCTCTCTGAAATCAATAAAGACATATTAAAAAAAAAAAATTGAATTAAAAAAAAAAAATTCTAGGGCTTGTGAACATAACATGTCATTTGCACATTTACACCATCAAAGAAGAGTGTCCTCAGTAGACCTTGGTGCCCCTCAGCTCCTGTGGCCTCTTGACAAGCCCTCTCCCTCCCTAACATGGTGGACACAGTAAGGAAGCTTTGTTGGGCCACTCTTGTCCTTTCAGACATTAACCTCACAGATGGCGCAGTGACAACTCAGGGAGGGGCAGGCCTCTGCCTAGAGCAGGAAGGGACCACTCTGGGCAGGGCAGAGGGCTGGAACTGATGGGGCCCCACTGTGTGCCAGGCACCATGCTAGACATTCAACATAAACCATCTCAGGAGACTCAGCACAAAGGGAGAAGTTTGGGGAGGGTAAGGAATCAGTTGGCTGAGCTGGATGGTGCAGGGGAGCAGGGAAAGGAGTTTAGACAAGTTGGGGTGACTAAAGAATAAGCAGTTCGCTGTTTAACCCTTTGGCTGAACCTCCACCCCAGTGAGTCAAGCCAACAGGGAAGCCAGAGCCGTAGCCCTGATTAGATGCCTAGAGATCCCAGGCCAGGCTGGGACCCACCCAGACACCTGCCTGCATCCCAGGGGTTTCTCCTTGTACCTTCAGTCTGGGCATGGCCAAGACGGGCTATCCTATCACCTGGCTGTCCCACTGAGATGAGCCCTGGGCTGGCTAGGGAGTGAGACAAAGTGAGGTCCTGTGTGAACAACTGGTGGCCTGAGCATCCCAGAGCCAGATGAGAAGAGATGGGGGTCAGGCCTGATGAGGGGTACAGCTGTCAGAGCAGTGGGTCTCAATCAGGGGTGATCCCCCCACCCTCCCCAGGGGCATTTCACAATGTCTGCAGGTGCCACTGGGATCTAGCTAGGGATGCTGCTAAACATCCTACAATACAACCCTCCCCCCAACCAAGAGTTCTATGCCAACTGTGCCAAGGCTGAGACACTCCGGCGTACAGTAAGGCGGGTAACGGGCTGAAATCCAAGCCACTCCCTAGGATGAAGCTGCCCCGCCCTCAGGAAGAGACATCCTTTCCTAACTCCGCCAGATGCAGCGAAGACTAAGTGATGTGGGGGTTGTTGGTAGGGAGCCACTGTAGTATATAAGGAAAAGAGAATGGATCTGCTGTCACCTAGGCTGTGATTTGTGCAAAAAGCAATTTCAAAGAGATATTTAGTCTTTAATAGAGGGTCAAAAAGTCAACCCACACGATGATGTCATCTCCTTGTTGGCAAAGACAGAGGGTTTTAAGCACCGGGACGTACACTCCAGGTGGGAAATGAGCTGTGATCAAAGATCTTCATCATGAAGGATCAGAAACACAGCTGTCCATGGATGGGGGGCAGGCTGGATAAACAATGGAATATCCTGTCTACGTACAGATAATGGAAATGTCTCCAGAACGGATTAAGTGAAAAGAGCAGGGTTCAGAACACTGCGCGCTGGGCTGCCGGCCTTTAGGTGGCGGGAGGGTTAAATCAGCGGCGTGTTAATTGCTTACATTTGCAAAAAGCAGCGGCTCTGAAGGACGCGCCTCGGGACCGCCCAGAGGGCTCCATGGCCGCACTCACTTAACACAGCAACAACCTTACTTTTCTTCGTGGGAGGGACGTGCAGAGCGCCTCGCTCGTCTCGCCCTTAGGTGAACTGCCCGGCTTTCCGCAGCCCGACTGGGCGTCCCGGGCCCGGCAGCCCGCGAGGGGCTTTAGACAAAGGCCTATCCAGTGGCTTCTTTCCTTAATCGCCCCAGCAACCCGGAGACACTGTTTCCCAGAACCTCCAGTGGCCGCTGAATGCGAGACGTGCATGGCTTTTGAAGGAATCCTGCAGTAGCTGGAGAGCGGGGGCCAATAAAGCAGCCCCGCCGCCCCGGCCCCACTCCTTCCCTCG